AGTTTAAGATGTTTTGGTTGCAGAGGGAGGCTCATCAGAAGACTAAGCTAAACTAAGCTAACTCATCTCGACAGTTGCTGGTTTTAAGTTTTACGGGGTTTTTTATTTTTCTCAAAATGTGTTACTATTCTATCATAAAACTGTATTTTAACAGAAGTGTTTTAAGGATCACCCACTCATCCTCCATGTACGTAAAGCCACTATGTGTAGAAGTGTAAATTGTCCACGGACAGTCTCCATTGGTCGTATGGAAAAATACATAATGACAATCAATTTTGTTTTTTTTGGTTTTTAAACTTTTATTTACATTTTATGGTAGAAGCTTAAGATTATAGTGAAAAATCCAAAAATTCTCTATGAGGAAACCTTAAATTATATAATTGTCTGGTTTGAGAAGAAGCCAGTGGTAGCCCCAGGATTTATTTTTTTTTGTTTGTTTCTTATTAATTTATTATTGTCCCCTGTTGACTTCCTGTTATATGTGTTGATAAAAAGCAGTAAAAGTCTTGTTTTTCCTGCATTGATATAATAAAGTAATTCATCATTCTCACTTCACTGATGCTCTTCTTTAACTGAAATTCTGTTAATGCTAGTTCTTTGCAACAAATGTTTTGGCTAGTGTTCATTTATGTCACCCGATTTCACAGGGATTACATATTGGAAGGCATCTACACATAGTGGCTTTAAAAATATTTGGCAACATGATTTTCTTCAGTGAAACAAATGTTTCTTTTAAAAATTTATTCGTAACACTCAGAGCAGGTTTTGTTGTTGTTGCGGTAGCATTCATATTTCCACTAGCATCAGCTGTTCAGTTTGTTTATGAATCCACTTAAGTCTTAACTCCGAATGCCATCTGAAGGAAGGTGCACAGACACGAGTTGAAAATGATCTTCCGTGGGTTTCTTTTCTATATCTTTTTAAATGCAGTTTTGACTTTACAGCACACAATCCGAAGGGATTTATATCAGAAAGAAATGCAAAACAACGATAGCTTTTGTGTATGTGACCCGACGCAGCCAAAGAACAGCAGATTTTCTGTTGATAAAAGTTGGGGTAGTTTGACCTTGGATTCTCACAATATAACTTCTGGATATTTGCCTTGTGCTCACATCAAGCATTGACAAAGTATTTTACATTTATATATGTTAACTGCATTTTAATGTCTTGATGTTTTTTTTATTTGTGTT